TAGGGTGTTGGGGGTGGGGTAGCAGAGGCAGTTGGTGCTGGGGCCTGGGGGCGGGCGCGGCTGAAAATGTAGGGGCTGGGGCTGAGGGTGTGGGGGTCGAAGCTGGGGTTGCGGGGGTCCACCTGGGTGGGAGTGTCTGGGGTGGGGTTGAGGGTGTTGAGGATGGGGTTGCCCATGTGCCTGGGGTGGAGCAGGAAGTTGGGGTGTGGCATGAGGAAGGTGAGGGGATTGGAGGTGGGGCTGAACATGGGGGTGTGGAGGGGGGCCTGCGTGGGGGTGCATTGGCGGTGGCAGGGGAAGCGCAGGTAGAGGCACGAGCAGGTTGTTTGGAATGACGGCGACTTGGGAGTCCTGGGATTCTCCCTGTACTGACAGCGTCCTAACGATGACTTCCCTGGCCTCCAGGCACTGAATCCTTGTCAGCTCGACTGTAACATAGTCTGCCATCGGGTACAACACCTCAGCTATCTGCATTGAAAAGAAAAATGTTAATATTAACAGAAGCTAACAAAAGCTGAAACAACATCAGTATCATAATCAATATCAGGACAATGTTTTAACCCCACTAGACTATAATAGGCAAATGGTTAGTATCCTCTTTGTTCTGAGCAAAACCTCCTCACATTGTTCACTTTTGCTTTAGTATGTAGAGCACAGAATCAGGCAGAAAACATTGTGATGGTAAAATTTCAGAATACTGTGTTGCTTTACTTTGGTAGTCACCAGAGGGAGTGAGAGACCTTTCCGAGACATTCACAGGTCCCAGATTGAGAGTCTTGCACTGGACATGAATCACAAGTAGATGGCACTGCTGTATGCATTGAGGGCACTGATGACATAATCCTAACTCAACAACAGAGGCTATTACCATCCCATCTGTGATGTATGTTCTCATGTTTCAAATGGATTAAATATGATTAAACAACTCACATACTGTTTTATACTGTCGCTCTGTACTGCATGTAAGCCTGTGAAATGTGGATCCCATATGCTTGTGAATTCTCCACAAACCAGTCCCTCAGTACTATGGTACTGTACAAAGTCACTTATTCTCCCTCTAATCATGAGTGATACCTTTAATTCAGCATCACTCAGCATACCTCTTAACAGAATCAGCTTAAATAAGGACACAGTTTGGGCCAGTTATACTAACACTTCCTAACTCACCCTCTGTCCTTTAGTGCAGACTGCGTAGCCAACCACATTTGCCCCGTTAGATGTGCCTGTAGGAGAGAGAATGGGGGGCTTCCAGTGGACCTGTAGGACCCCTGGAGCCTGCCCACAGAGCACCTGTACATCCTGGGGAGGCATGGGAGGTCCTAGAGGATAAGAAAACAGATGTAAGGGGAAAACAAGTTTTTAAAAAAAGAATGTATGTAATAATTTACCATTAAAATTATGTATGTTCAAACAAGCAGAAAGGGTGGGTGTGAAGCATTCATTAAATGCACAAATTGACACACACAGAACCATGCACAGAAATGCCCACAAACAAGAGAAGAGGGGTGAGATGGTGAGAGGATTCAGGAAACAAGAAACTGGGTTAATTTATCATTTGCCCTGTGTATCTAAATCTGTGAAAGATGTGCATAACACCTTGTTTCAGCTTTGTAGAGATTCATGCCAATACATGTGATAATGTGACATTGCTAGTGGGGAGCATTCAAAAGTTGTGCTTATATAAAATGTCATATATCATAAGTCATCACGGCACTAACACTGACTGAAATCTTCTTAGTGTAGTATTTTATTTATTTTTGCAAACTATTTACAACTATATTTCCACTCTGTATTCTTCTGGTCTAGTACTGTATCATAACCTCATACTACTCTTTTTTAAAGGAGAATAAATGAAGGCAAAATAAAACAATGTGGGCCTCCTGAGAGAAGCATTGTTGTCTCTGCATGCAGGACACAATCCAGAGAGACTAACTATACAGCCCATTCTTTGTCTCCCACTCTCCTGGATCACTGGATAAAACATGCACAACTGCATTCAAACAGAAGCAAATGCACACTCACAAAAAATGGTAATTTCAGTGAGCAGTCGAGTGGCACTGCTTTATATAGCAATGGTTACTACAGGCTAGGCTATAGGCTGAGGAAATGACTCATCAGAATAATAACTGATCATATCTTGTGATGCGTGGCTGTTGTCTAATTAGTGATGTGCTCCGTGCAGTAAGCAAACTTGGGCAAAATTGCATTTGAATTTGGTTTCAAAACACAAAGTCTGTGTCTCAATAGATGCAAGAATGACAACATTGTTTGTAGATGGAAAATGTTTTTTCCATCTGAGAACCATATAAAAATAATTTTGCCCAGATCCCTTCACTGATTGCTCATATTGAACAATATGTCATAATCATTCTCAGTGTCAAGACTAAAACCCTCTTCCAAAAGTATCATAGCACTAATGTCATCTCTGCCCATTGGTTTTCAAGAGAAGAAAATCATTTAGTGCTCAGATATTGGGAAACCCAGCCCAGGACTGATGTTTTATTCTGACCTGTTCTGCAATATGGTGTTGGACCTAGACAAAATACAATACACAACAATGGCATGGTAAGGCAATGCTGTACTCTTCCACAGCACAGTACAATAACCTTAAAATAATATGGCATTATGTTACATATTAAAGCTGGATTACAGCAAACTGAAATAAACAGAGTAGTAGCAGTCTGTTATCTCTTATCTGTCCTTCATACAAGATTGTTTAAAACGTAAAAAGCAAACACAAAATACTACCGACAATCACCTGATATGGAGCTATGAATACATTATTGAAACTATATCTCTATGTAAAGAAATTATCTTTACTGACCTGCAGCCTGAGTGCAGAACTCCACACCAGCTTCTTTCCTCTCTCTCTGCTCCAGCGGCAGTTGCCATGGCACCTGGTGCGGCTGTGCCACCACCGTCACTTTGTACACCGTCAGGGGCTTGAGGTTGAGGAAGCGTAGTCTATACCTTCCTGGCTTTACCACTGCGTGCTCTACCCCGTCCAAGAACACGGTGTGACCATAGTTACTGTTGCTAGGTAACCAGGAGAGCTCAGCAGTGTCACGCTGGATGTCATCCACCCGCAGACCACACGGCGCCACCACAACATTGGCTCCTACCAGCACGGTACAGCGCAACTCGTCTGACAAACCCCGGTCGGTGATGCTCTGCACTGACACGCGATGGACGCAGCCGTCCAGGTCCAGTTTCTCCAGCAAACACTTGGTCCGTCCACCGTACACTATACTGGCACGAAGCTCACCGTCTACTAACACGTTGTAGCCAGAGATGTTCCCCCAGCCCAAAGGCACATATGGAGGCTCCCAGGCCACAATGACGCTCCGTGCCAGCTGCTTGATCAAGGAGATCTTTCGGGGGTAAGGCACAACGTCTTCAGCCATGTCCTCAGGGTCCAGGGGCCCCCCTGTCCCATTGCTACAGGGAACCAAGGCGTTAGCTGAGCCCAGGAGGCCATCCTGGGAGGCACCTCCATCCACTGCTGTCAAGGCCAGGGGGTTATGGTCCAGTGGGCCCAGATCATCCCCTCCCTCCCCTGACAGAATCGCTGGTTTTTCCTTGTCCTGGACAAACTCCACAAAGTTCGAAGGAACAAGTCCTCGCTGGCCATCCAGCAGCTCTCCTGTGACACAGAAAGAAGTAGAGAAACAGATGTAGAAGATAAATAACTCTGTGCCTCTTTCTTCATGTTCATGTTGATGAACAAAAACACTAATGCCAACTACCTGAAAATATTACCCTTCAATTGTCTATGGGACAGCACAACAGTCCCTCTGTGATGCCTCCTGCATATGTTAAATTTAAGCTTCACTAATGGCTCCTTACAAAACAAGACAAAAGGTAAGCTGTAACTTGAATACACATAATCATCAGTGAGAGCTATTTCCCTTGCAGGCTGGCAATGAGTCAGTGAGTGAAAGGTGGGAGATACATAAACATACAGTATGTACTATTCCCTAAGATGTAAGATTTACCACTGGTTCTCTGATGCTATCTTTTGTACTCTCTCCAGTTAACACAGCACTGAGAAAAAAATCCTTTTCAACATTTCGAACAACTTGAACTTCAGTTCACTGCTTTTGAACATTTCCAGGAACACCCCAGAGCATGTAGATGCTGCGGTCAATGCAAAAGAAAAAAAACAACTTAGATTTTGACTGTAGCTTTTTTTCCCAAAGGGAAGAAGTTTGTCTTCAAAAAAGCTCCCTATCATCTTGTCCTTCAATCCCTTTTTCCACAGAGAGACCTTAAGACCATCTGTGTGTGTCTGCGCATTTGTGTGCGGGTGAGTGTGTGTGTTGTTTGTGTGTGCTGATGATTAAACTGAGCCCCACTGGATTAGTCATCAAGCTAAAAGGGACCAAGGTCCCATCTTGACAACAGCTTGGTCTGAGGCCCGAGTCTCCCTCCTGCGTGGTAAATACAAGGCTCCTCCACGATGCCATGCAATCTGACCGCCCACATCTGATGAATCACTGCAGTTGAGTACTACTGTGTCTGTGGCGGTCTGTGCTGTCTGCAGGATTGCTAGCTGGGGGGATTAGGATTGGCTCTGATGGAGAAGCCTTCATAATTCTAAAGAGATTAGACAGAGAATCACTCCAGTCACTAGTTAGAAAAAGTGTACGGGAAGTTTTGCTGGTGACAATGGTGCACCCAGGATAATCAGATCACCTAGTGGAATATTGACCATCTTTAAAGTAACTAATAAATAATAACAAACACTGATACCAAAATGGGTCATAACAGGATGTCATATTTGTAATTAATTAATATTTGTTCTTTACTGTAAAGTTGTATTATTATTATTATTATTATACAACTATACATATACCCACAATATACAGTAGTATAGTATATGTGCTACAACAGTTTGCAAAGGTTGCTGAGGGGATTTACTTTCCAAACTAAATACTGTTAATAGAACAAATTCACTGAGGGATAACTGTGTGCTGACACACACTTCTTGGGATTTTGTCTCATTGTGCGATAATTAATATGCGATGATGCACACGCTTGTTGTGACTGTCATGCATTCAAGCATTCTCTGCAACAGCAGTAGACAAGGACTCAGGCAAAATCATAGACTAGAAAAGCAACAAAGGATACCTCCTGCTGTTCTGCAATCTTTGATGTAACGACTGCAATATTTTTAAGACAGTTGTGATTTAGACACCTGCCTTCGCTTCACATGCTGATATTATTTTCATCCTGGAGTCTTGTTTTAATTCTTACCTTCATAGAAGCCATCGTCATCCATGTTTCCATACACGTACAGATACTTTCCAGCAACAAGGGGGAGTTCTGCTTCAGGATGCTCATTTGGTCCATCGTAAGGGTTGTAACTGGAAGGAGAAATGTTCACTTTTAGATTTCACCACAGCAGCTCTTGTCATTTGGAAATAAAGCTGTTAGTTATTAAACTTAAAAAGATTATGTGCAATAAAATAAACGCACTCCTGAAGCTGCTCTCATTTACCTGTAACGGGCAGTGCAAAGGCGGACCTGGCCTGTGTAGCGAGGCTTGGACCTGGGTGATGGGCTGGCCTCATCCTCCATCTGTAGATTGACAAAAAGAACAAAAGATGAATGTCATTAACATTAACATGTACTGTTCATAATTAGTCAACCCAATAGTAAGCAAAGTAAACCATTAAGTTTGCAAACATGACTATATAAGTCAGGGTAATGTTGTAATCTATCTTGAAGACATAATAAGTCATACGCATTAGTGTGATGAAATTTAGTGATGTGGTGTCACTCGGACCCACCTCTGAGGGGGTCAGCTGTCGAGGGCTGCTGGGTCGGTCCGTTATCACGGTGCTGGAATTGACAGACAGCAGTTCTGGTCTTTCTCTGTCTCCAGTCAGTGGTGTGCAGGGCAAGAACTGGGAGATCAGTAGCGGCGTGTTTGCCGCGCACTCATCGCCTGGGAGACATTGATTTCCATAGCAAATAAAGAGCAACTGTCATTCCTTCTGCATCCATTTGCTGCTCATTGCACAGCTATTGATCTCCTGTTGAAGCAAGTGTACAGCAAACACTCTTCATGGCAAAGGCTTCTCCACCCCCATCAACACCTCACATCTGCAATGCATTTGCCCTTAAATACCACTCAGGTCCTCTGGGCAAAAAAATATACTTGAAAGGAGATGCAGGAAATACAAAATTGAAAATTTCAGTGTAAGAGTGCAAACAGCTGAATTCCTTGAGGAAATTAAAGTAAGTCAACAACATGAATCCACTGTATCTGAGGGTTCTTGTGGTTTGTAAGTGAGTAATATTATGTATTAGCACAAAAGCATCAGTGAGTTCCCCCTCTGTTTCAAGTGAAGAGAAAGATAAAACAGGATTTCCAGCACTTCAAAGACCTCTGGTCTGTGCCAGACTGTATAAATCTACATCGCTGATATGGCTGTATCTGCTGGCTCTGCAGGTTCCACTATGTCTCGTTAGAATACTAATGTGTTGAACCACATTCATGTCATACATCATGCCTGTGATCAATTAGGGTAGATATAGATCACAAATAACCAGTATTGCGACTGATGATGTCTACCTCTGGTCAGGAGTGAGCTGATCCAGCTGTTATGTGAGCTGTCAGGGGATTAGAAGACTGTGACTCTCATTTCATTCATAAGCCTTTTGATCACATGTAAGTGGGTGGATGCTTATATCCACAGTGTCTAGAGTGCATACATTTTCTTATAATGGGTGGACCCCACTGGTAGCAGACCATTTAACCCTGATGTTTTAGTAACATTTTCTGCTACTATTAAAAGAACACTCTACAGATTAAGCGTTGCACTCCTATAACACACACAATAAACCAGAGACATCGTCTTTTTTTATTCCACGCATTCTTCTGTGTCAAAAAACCTGGTGCCTACATTAACCACAATGCAACTCGACCACCAACGGTGCGGTCGGAGAATTGGGTGTCTTATGCTACACGCACAGCTGCCTCAGGAGCCAAAGGCTTTACACAACTACAACTAATACTATTATAATAACAATAAAATTAAGAAATTGCAGAAAATGTAAAAAAAATGAAATCAAAGCTAAAGCTCAAAACACTGACCTACCTGTCTCTGGCTGGGCTCCAACAATAACTTGTGAGAGTTTCTTCTGTTGCGAAAGAGGAATCTGGGATGTGGAAGTGGGATTAATTTTAAGGATGTCCACAGTATCCGACTGCAAATGGAAATTCAGCAGCTCTTTGGACAGCTGGTGGTAGTGTTCACTCTGTGATCTGCATTTCTGCTCCAGGTCACGAACCTTGACCTTTGGTAGACAACGAGGAGAGCGGAGAGGGTGGTAATGGCCCAGAGGAGGGAGTGGGGGGAAAAAAAGAGAGAGCAGGAGATAAAGATTGAATCACAGGGGAACACACAAAGCGTGGGGTGTACTTCATCACATGTAATGTTCAGATATGAATTCTCTGAAGAACAGCCAACGTTTCATCTATTAATGCTGATCAACCACAGAACCAATTAGAAAAGGATCCCCAAGGAGCCATTTTGAGCTTATAGCAGCATGTTATATTGTTAACCACTGCACTAATAAAATCATATGGAAGTGTAGAGTCATTTGCACATCTGCAGCTGATATAGTACACTGTTAAACTCTGATAACAAAGCCTGAGAACTGCAAAGAGTTAAGAGGATTATAAAACAGTATAGACATTAAAGATGCCATATCATAGATATCATATCAGAGGAAGTCAAGGAAGATGGATGGGGGTGTACAATGAGTATAGTAGTGCTCAATCTCATTCAGTGAACATATGGATTCTCAATTTGCACAAAATACCCACTAAAGGCTTTTAAAGCTTTAGTGATTTGCTGAAAATTCACACATGCAACTGAAAGGAGATTAAACTAATCAGGGAGAAAAATAAATACCTGAAACATTCTGTCCTTATTGTTCTGTTCAGACAAAAAGGAGGGAAACAGAAAAAAAGTAAAGAAAGAAGAAAAATTTTAAGAAAAAAACAGAACACCAATAAATGCAATTGTAATCGATGCAAAAGGAGAAAAAGAAAAATGCAAAATATATTTATCAGTGCAAATAAATATACAAAAACAAGAAGCCCGACAAACAGAAAATGACTGAGGACTGTGGTGTCAAAGAAAACAGAATACAAAGGTTTGTTTATTTGTTTGACCCTAAAGACAGTGAAGTTACGTATGTATGTATGTATGTATGTATGTATGTATGTGTGTTTAAATTGATTCAATGAATTAGCAAGAAGCAATTAACTCCTTAACAGCGGAGTTTCCACTTTTTCCGACCAAACTCTGGATGTTTGTCTGAGCCAAACTCGGGCTGCTTGCTCAGTAAAATCGTATTAAAGTGCTTCAGCTGGATAATAACTTGACCTCACTTGAACTACACTCGAAGGAGTCTACACACTGTTGTCGTGACAAAAGGATTTAGAGTGGAATGAGAAAATAATTTCAAGTAGATGAGCCGGTGACAAGCATCTTAAAGACTGTGATGAAACACAGCAGGTTGGGAAATTTATAAAGCATTCAAGGTCAGCCTGGATACAGGATTAATGGGATTAATGGGATGTTCGAGTCTGCAACTACAGTGATAGAAAAGTTTGGAATAATATTTAACACAACAGTACAGAAAACCTACAGAAAGAGAAAGGAAGAGGTAATATAACTGCAAGCACAGAGGCTGAGCTGCTGTTTGTTTTCAACTGTTTTAATGTATGAGTCACAAACTGGTGTGGAGTATTGAATAACTCACACGGTATTACAGCATTTACAGCAATTGCTCCTGTGCAGAAAAGGGCCAGGGTACTCTCTGTGGAAGCCATAATTTATGCCACACCACCTGTATCAGGGCCAAGTGCACTGGCCAGCACCCTGACCATGTTTCTACAGTATACATCTTACTGACATTCAGAATGAATGAAGTGTCTTGCGGAACCTGCGTTAAAAGAGGATCCAGAAACATGACAGAGGGACACAAGTTGAAGGTTTAAGTCTGCGTTTATCCAACAGGTTCTGCACAGGTTAAGGATTGTCTCATCTTGATTAACAGAAAGGCCCCTACACAGTCATTGTCCCCCCACCACAAGAATACGTATTGACTTATTTGCCCTGATTAGACATTTTCTCAGGGCTGTGTGGACATGTGTTACGGTGCTTTATTGCCATCTCTTTAATGTCTTTTTAAGTTGTTGCACCTGCTCACACCTTTATTGTCCTTACTAGAGCTGTGTTTTTCTTTATATAATGGACTCTATAGTGAGCAGCAAATTGAGACTTTCAGCCCTTATAAATCATCACCATTTTGCATCATTACTGACAGGTGTCATTTTTCATCTATAAAATACAACTCATTGCTTTTGTGGACTTGGCAAAAGCATGCAAGCAACCAAACATTTTGAAACAGAACTTACAAAGTGCTTTAAAGAGAGAAGAAAATGGGTAAGGTAAATAATAGAAAAAAGAATATATAAACCCAAGCGTACGATTGGGCGGTGCTTTTTAAAGTAGGATTCAGAGAGCTGAGAGTTAAAGTATCTGCTGTGAAACTGATCCTGGATGCTATCAGAGTTTAGGCTAATGTTAGAAAATAACAAACAGATTTTTCATTTTTCCATGTTAAGGACAATCTAGCTCTCTAGAACATTTGCTGTTTATCTATTTACATGTCCTCTACTCTATACAGGTCATTAGCTGGTGCAACAAAACATTTTTGTTTTATGTGAAATCAAGCATATACAAATATATATATAACAAAAGTTCCTAAAAAGTGTTGAATATGTTGCTTTTGTTTCATCTTTAACGAAACCGAAAGCTTCACAGGCGTAGCAACAGAAAGTAAGTTAGCAAGCTGTCAATTCCCAGCTGAGGTGCAATCAGCCAGAGTAATAAAAAACACCAATGTGACTGGTGCAGGGCCTTTCCAACATTAGCTTTTTCTAATCAATAACATTGTATGTGTGTGTGTGTGTAAACTGACATTTGTTAAACTAGTTTTCTATCTAGTAGCAACTTTTGACTACATTAAAATGATATTCATTGTTTTTTACAGTTTACATTGCAGGGCCCCTTATTCCACATCTGTATAATACTACATCATACATCCTGAGGATTTTGTTTTTTTTCATCAGCTTGAAACAGCTATTTTAGAAAGGTAAGACTGGGTAAAGATCTGTGTTTATTCATGTTACTGTATCTCTAATAGGTGTACTGCTTCCTCGTGCTCTTGGTCAGCTTGAACCCGAGCTTGTAGAGAACGAACAGAAACACACAATGACAGCTGACACTGTGATCACAGTCCATGAGGTAGAATAGACAGCACACAGCTGACATACTGTCAAGCCAATACCCTGGCAGAGGCTCACTGGTGGATCACAGCACTGGTACTTGAAGAGAAGCCTACTCCTGATGGCACCGCTCTGATGAACTGTTTTTTTGGGGTACGTTAGTGTGCAAGTAGTGGCTGGTAGGAGAAGTAAAATTACAGTTCTCAACTTTAAAAACCTCTGTGTAATTGGACCATTTTTTAGCCACTGTTTTAATATATTTGTCTGTTCGACTGTTAATTACTGACAGTTTCTCTTTGAGCATCAATGCAAATACAGGACAATAAGCAGATACGTACATACAGACAACTGGCAGAAAAAACCTGACAGATTTCTGAGGAAGAAGTCACCATTCATCTCTTTTATGGCCATATTAAAGCTGGACTACTCTAATCCAGTATTTTGAGAATATATCTATCAGTCATTAAAGTAAGAGGATTTTGAATGGGCTTTTTGGTTTATCCTCCTACGCTGTGTAAACAATTAACAGTAAATAAAGCTGCAAGAGGACAAATATGTGTAAAAACTAAATATTTCTTCATTTAAGACTGAAGAGGTCAAAATTCACAAACTCTTAAATCAACAATAATTTTAGCCACAAACTTGGGCCAGATATAGCCCAAAGCACGTGTAATTTAAAGGTCCAGTGTCTAGTATTAGTGGTATCTAGCTGTGTAGTTGCAGATCACTCCTTCGCTTCACTCTCCTCTTCCAAGCACAAAGGAGAAACTACAGGGGCCAAGAAACACATGAAAAACGCAAATGCCTGTATCTAGTGTGGTTTGTGCCTTTGAGCTACTGTAGAACATGGTGGTTCAACATGGCGGACTCCATGGAAGGTGACCTGCAGCGTCTGTAGATACATAAGGCTCATTCTAAGGTAACAAAACATAACGATTCCTATATTCAGGTGATTATACAGTATTGAAAACATTCCTATGAATATTCTATTCCATTTCTACCAATAGATCCTCCTAAATATTACACAGTGGACCTTTATATATATATATATATGTGTCCCTTGTGACATCTGAAGTTTTCATATTTGAAGAATATATCCCAGTCTTAAAAGGTACCAGTAACATCTGCACACGGAAAGATGTTCACAAGGTGTATAAATTTATCAACAACTAGAAAGGCAACATTTTTAGCACACTATCAAACAACATGAAAAGTGTTGCAAGCTGCAAACTGCATTTCTAATAAAATCTGCTGATTTTTGGACAGGCTTCTGAGGTGTTTATATTTTCTGATACAGTAGCACTGATTCAATGACAGTGATTCAGCACAAACTGGCTACTGACACATCAGTTGCTGAGCACGGAGCTTCAGTTCCTCACTGCTCCTAGTCACAAAATGACCCAGAAGGCTTTTGTCAAATGTATAAAAACTTAAATTTTCTATTTTTTATCTTCATCCATATGTCCATACCTTTTGCAGTTGATTGATCTCCTTCTGCTTGGTGTGAAGGGCCACCAAGGCTTGCTCATGCTCTATCTGCAGTTGCTGCTTCAGCTCTACAGCCTCATGCATATGCTGGGGAGAAACAGACAGAGGGAGAGGATGTGGTTACGTTGAAGGATGTTATATAGAGATAGACAGGTTTTTTTACAGTATCCCCAAAGAAATACCCAACCACAATCTTTTTCTATTGATCGAGTCATATTTAAACATAGCTACACCTTGAAAGCCAGGAAAATTATTAAACTATTCTATCCGTGGCACTGAAAGGAGGGTGTATTTTGCAGTGGGCTGGCTGCCACCCTGGCAACGATAACTTTGAGGAAATTGAACCCAATCCACCTGAATGGCAATCAGCTGCAGGCAACACTGCATTCTGACGTTTGTGGGGAAGAAATGCACACAAAATATAGCAAAGAAAATAGCTAATTAAAGGACCAGCATGTAGGATTTAGTGGCATCTAGCTGTAAAGTTGCGGATTGCAACCAACTGAATACCGCTCACTTTCCAAGTGTGTAGTAGAAACATGGCGGTTCAACAGGGCAGTAGAAGAGGACATGCTCCCTCTGCAGATTAAAACAGCTCATTTTTAAGGTAACAAAAACTTTGAACAGAGCAAGTCTAGCTGTTTCCAGTCTTTATTCTAAGCTAAGCAAAGCTATCATCTGCTGGCTGTACAGACACACTGCCCGCGTGAGCAGTGCGTATGCCTCACACAGCCTCTTGCTTTTTATTTCGGAGACCCATGTTAACAGGTTAGAGCGGCCACACAGCTTTCACATCACACCTTACTACATCTGTAGAATATGACACAGACATGAAAATAAATATAAATAAATTTTTAACTCAACAACTCCTCTATCTATTTCAGATTAAAAGCTCTCTAGCGTTTCTGTCGACAGGATCCATCCATTTGTTAACAAGGCTTTTATTGTATTGTATTTATGGAAGGCAAACTCAGTGCAGAAAGATAGGGCTGGCTGCAGCATCACAGCTGCAGAATCCCTCTATGTGGACACCGCAGTTGGCGAGCCGCAGTAGTTCAGCGAGGATGCCGCCGCACACTGCACTGTAGGCAGTGTGGCCCAGCCATTATATTTACTGTACAGACGTGAAAGCAAATAAGCCCTAAGTATAAAGATTGTTATACAGTATGAGCTTTTTATATAATTTGTATATCTATTAGATGCAACCTACTGTACACTCCAAACTGACTCAGACAAAGCTTTCACACTTGGTCACCCACACTGATCCCAAATCTACCCATTCCCAAATTAGCCGAGTCATGACTATATACTATCTATCCACTGAGTCACGACAAGCTGCCACATCTTGCAGAAACAGAGTTAAGGCCATAAGATGTTTCTGCAGGCTTAAAAAGAAAAGACAGCTTAGAAAGCTCTGACATTCATCATTTTCTCTCTGTGTTCTCTCTCCCTTGAAAAAAAGAAAAGCCTCTTTACCTCCTGGAGTGGCTTCGAGGTGTCCTGAGCAGGCAGCCACTGCTTTGCATAATCAGAGAGAAGCTCTAAGCTGCAGAGGACTGGGCTGGCTGAGAGGCTGTCACAGGAGCCTTAGTGAAAACTATTTTTTTAACACTTGCACATTCAAGGAGGGCTTGATGAACTCACCTACATTTTCACAGCACCACGTGATGTCATGTTGAAACAGAAACAGACATTTAACCTGCCTTATGCGAGCCTGCTGCTCCAGCCTGCGACTACTTCCAGCCTTTCCTATTACTGAAGCCTCAGCGCAAGAGGAGATCCTCCACAGTGTGGTGAAAAGGGGCATTTGTGTGGTACACAGCACTGTAAAGACGGGGATTTTTGAGACAGGTGATGTGTGCTGTTAGCAGAAACTTTGAACTTGAGGACTGGAGCCTGAGATTTGGACTTGAATTAGACTTATTTTACACATCAAAGTCTGTTTACAGGTGACTTAAGTGAAAAGTTATATAAAGCCCTTTGTTGCTTCAGAGGGGGGTGCACCTCAAGTGAACCTCAAGTTGAAAGAAATCTGGGGGTGTGGGGTTGAAAAGAAGGGAGCTTACCAGACCTCTGTAGTCTGCACCTCATCTCTGCTTGAGGCTAGTGGCTCAAGGCGAAATTAGCTGCTACTAGCACTTCTTAGTTAGATGGATTACCCTCTTCAGTGATAATTGGAACTTTATTCAAGGGCCACTATCCATCTGTCTTGCGCATTGCCCTTTACACCTTCTTGTATGACAGAAAGGCCCAGAATAAGATAGCCATGCTGAGTCATGTCTTAATTCCCCCATAGAAATGTGACAACAAGCCGGATTATATAACTTCAAAATCACGATTGACAGTTTCTTTATCTCATTAGTTTTGACTGAAGAACCAAGAAAATTAAGTGTCTTTTTCTGTTTTTTTTGTTTTTTTTTATGTTGTGTTTCCTCCATCTCTGCTTTCTCCACCCACATCGCCCTGTGTAATTTTCTCTAAATAGTCTCTTTGTCTTCACAATCAATACACAATGAGAAAGTGACAAACCTTTCTTTGCTGTATTAGGGAGCGGGTCAGTTTTTCTCAGATGGGTACATTTCTCTCTCAAATATCTTGACAAACAGACAATCGATAGGAGATGCAGGGAGGCGAGGATTTGTAATGAGAGTGCCTCTCACGGTGCAGTGAGACTGTGTCTGATTACTATTGGCAGACCATAACACGATGAAAAAAGAGCCTCTCCATGAAACCGATGACACTTCACCTCATGAGTTGCATCACTTTCCTTCTGAAGTTTTCTTAGCAAACAAACACATGGAAGATGGGAATATTTCCAAAAGGAGGCAGTGAAAATTAAGACCTGAAAAGTCTCCAAACTGATGAATGGTGTGAGCCAAGTAGAACCACTGAAATGAATGAGGGATGAATAAGTGGAGATGGGCATTCTAGAGAAATGTGGTGAGATATACAGAATGTCAGTGAAAAAGTGGGAAGATAGACTCAGTGGAAAGGAAGATAAAGGATAAAAGAGTTGAATCGTATAGACATATTGCTCAGTGGTCTTCTCTACCAAAGAACGAGAGAGACGAGAAGGAACTATTGCAGATTTATGGCATCAATCCCTAGATAATTAAATCTCCCTTCTGTGGGTAGAGAAAGGACATTTGTTCCTTAGGGGTGGTATATGAAAAATGGCAAAAATCGTGAAATTCTTTAAATTGAACTCCTTTGATCAAGAGTTTGTTCAGGTAAGAGCACACACTGACAAGATTTCTGAGTTCTCCCTCAATACTCAAAATTGCTTTCTGGCATTATTAGGTTATCTAGAGCTGGCCACGTTCTTACTCCACACTCTTTGCCAGACAACTGAAAGCTCTACAGTCAATGTGATTTAGGAGAAAGACCCAAAGTTGTCATTTGCTGAGAAATCTGTGACACTGATGCCAACATTTAAAGAAGTTATCAAAGCATATTGTATGTGTGATTGGTCACAAAATGAAAACCTCAAATCATATTATGAAATTTATACTATAGTGGAGGTAGGAGACATTGACAGACTCAAAAATAAAGGGGTTAAGAGAAAGATGAGCTGGTGTTAGCTGCAAGTTCCCAGCTTTCCCTCAACATTAAAAAGGAAGACAAAAGTGATTTTTGTATTTAGGATGAAGGAGGAGGATGAAAGCAAACGTAAATGGAGGGACGTCTCACCTTCAGAACCTGCTCCAGGTTCTCCACTTTGTCTTCGAGCTGGCTCCTCTGCTGCTGGGCCACGTCTCTCTCCTGGCTCACTACAGCAAAGGTCTCTCTCAGCTGGTCATAGTCTGATCGCACCTACATAAACAGAAAGAGTGCAGATGCAAAGGAGGGAAGAAGAAGAAAAAGATTTTAAAAAGAGGAGGAGGAGGTATAGAGGATTATTAATAACACAGATATAAAAGGCCGTAGAAAAGTCAGTGCAGGCAGTCAAACAAAAAAACACAACAAAGTGAGGGAACACGCTTTAAGAGTTTCAAAATGTAACCATTATCGTGTTTTTTTTTAAAAGAGGAAAACAAGCCTGCAATTTTTATGAGGTTTGCTCTTTCAGTAGACCTACTTTTCACATTTATGAATAGAGTTCTTTTTTTCTTTTTTGGCTGGAGGGTTGATTGGGAGTTCACAGTCTGAAGAGAAATTAATCAGCACATTTCCATTTAGCCTTGATGAGACAGAGCTGCTGACTTGAGCGTTCTGCCTCTCGTTTTCTTCATCAGTCTGAGGCCTTGAGCTAAGCTGGTTCCTCTAAAGGTGGCCTCGAAGGATCGAGCAGAAACCATCCCTCAGCCACACACCAATCATCTCATTAACTAACATAACAGATGAGCGTGCAATAGATAAGCTCATTAATTCATATTGTGGAATTTATGACTGGAGCTGGGGCCGGAAGCTCTAGTACCATCTGAGCTAAGTATATCATGATGGACAAACGGTAAATATAAAATAATAATAATAATAATACATTTTATTATTATTATTTTATTGCTTTAGACATGCTTTACATGATAAATTAGAAAAGAAGAAGAAACTCTAAAACTACAGCAATTATCTCGGAACAGAACATAAAATCAAACATTAAAATAAGTAATTGTAATAAGTGCATTGTAATAAAACCTGAACTATAGCTCAATCACACTGCCTACCTGAGGGATGTGTGGGGGAACGTCTTTTTTTAATTTGGTGTCCATGTTAACAGATTA